AGGTATTGAAACACACTCATACTTACGAGTGAACACTTTAGAATTTAGACTCTGAGGAGGATTGAACTTTTTCTTCAATATATTCACACAATTAGCTGCTGAGGAGACGGTGGAGATTTGTGCTGTTTATAAAGACTCAGTATTGTCATAAAATGTCCATCGATACCTTCAGTAGAAAGATATTGGTATTGGCAGCAGCAGTTAAAGCTCCACATGGATCTAACCTTCACTAAAACAAACCGTGTAGCCAGCGCTGTGACATATTTGTTTACTTCCACAACTTTCAAGTGAAATTGTTGTTGAGCTGTTAAACTTGTCTTTTTTCTTCTCTTGCTCACAGACCTTTGACATGTTTATCAGCCATTACAGCAGTTTGACCTCGTCGCCTTGTGTGCACATCTTCAAGCTGATTGGCTCGGACAGCGACCCGCTACACAAAGAGCCGCAGTTCTGGGCGAGCATGATGGAGCCCTCTGGTACTAGACTGTTCATGACAGATGAAATATTTTCTCTCGAAGCTCAGCTATCAGTAAAACAAAATGTTTTGTCGTCTGTTTGTTTCCAGGTTTCCCATTGGACAACACTACTCCAGAGATCTTCAGCTTCACAGGGAAGTCGGGCTTCAAGCTGTACGGCATGTTGTACAAACCACACAACCTGGTCCCCGGCAGGAAGCATCCCACTGTCGTCTTTGTTTATGGCGGTCCGCAGGTTTGATCTCTTCCACGTTAATGTTAGATTCATGTTGTGTAGACTTACAGGATGCAGAACAACGAGGGATTTACCTTCTTGTGAACATTTGTGATTTTATTCCAGGTCATCCGATCATGTGGAACAGGTTTTAAGAGGCGGACCACTTGTGTTGGACCTTTACAACTGTACAACAATCTTATTCTTAAATCACCTCTTGTTCAGCTGCTGTTTTTGAGCAGTGTTTCCAAGTGAAGGCATAAAAAAATGTGGTTAAAACTGATACAAATCTGTAAGTCCTAAATCAGTCACTGTTGTACATGCAGTGAAAATAACTTAGTGCATTTTCTGTTCAGTAGAATAGAGATCAGATTAGTCATCAAATCATCAGTCATAACTTCCCTGTATATTGTTTCTCTTCCAGGTGCAGTTAGTGAATAACTCGTACAAAGGAGTGAAATATCTGCGGCTGAACACTCTGGCGTCTCTGGGCTACGCTGTGCTAGTGATTGATGGACGAGGATCCTGTCAGCGAGGACTCAAGTTTGAAGGAGCTGTGAAGGACAAAATGGTATTTATCACAACTGCACGATCATTGGAAACTGAATATGATAAGACCTTTCTATCCTTACAGCCTCATATCTTTGTTTTAATCCACTTTGTAAACATTGTTTTTTAGAAAAAGCCTCTCTGCATATTGAACGTATGAAAAGTGAACGAGCTCTTTCTGTCCTCCACCCAGGGTCAGGTGGAGATTGAGGACCAGGTGGAGGGTTTGCACTACGTAGCTGACAAGTACAAGTTTGTGGACCTGAGTCGTGTTGCCATCCACGGCTGGTCGTACGGAGGCTTCCTCTCACTCATGGGCCTCATCCATAAACCCGACATCTTCAAGGTCAAAACTTATGAACTTTTACTCTCTTTTGAATTTACAGTTAAAATATTGATTTAAAATATATTCACAGATCTTTCAATTGAAATACTGTATATGCAGTTGAAGGAAGACGTGATGGCCACCGTTTACAGCCGCTGTTTACAGCCGCTGTTTACAGCCGCTGTTTACAGCCGCTGTCACAGATTCAACGTTGTTGTTCGTTGCTTTTTAAAAGCTGTGGAGAGTGCGACCTGATAGCTGAATGTTTGGGGCTCGTTTTTTTTTTGTAGGTTGCTATTGCAGGAGCTCCAGTGACTTTGTGGATGGCCTACGACACCGGCTACACAGAGAGATATTTGGATACGCCTGAAAAAAACCAGCAGGGATACGAGGCTTGTTCTGTCGCTCTGCATGTCGATAAACTCCCAAATGAGTGAGAACTTTTAACTTAAAATTCAGATTTTCATCTTAATGCTTTAAGTTTATTCAGTTTCTACAGGATGTCCACTTATTAACTGAGACAGAATTAAAAAGATAAATCAAAGCAGTATTTCACTGTAACTAAGTTAGTTTTCTGGTTACAATATTTCACATTCAAGCTCTTATGTACTTTGTTATTATTTATTATTATTATTATATAAGTGCAGAAGTGGATTATTTGGTTCTAATTCTTTCATGTTTGCTGTAACATTCACTTCTTTGTATTTATATGTGAACAACAGCAGAGAAATGAAACCCTGTTTGCTCTTGTTAAACTCAGACCCAACAGGTTGCTGATCCTTCACGGGTTTCTCGATGAGAACGTGCACTTTTTTCACACCAACTTCCTGGTGTCTCAACTCATCCGAGCCGGGAAACCATACAACCTGCAGGTAGGAGGATTCACTCATATACTGGTCTTAGTGTTACACTGATGTAGAAGTAGAAAGGAAAATTCCATTAACTAAAGCCAGGGTTAAACTTTTTTAAGAGTTTTTGGCTTTGATCATTTAAGAAACACATTACAAAGAAGATATAAATCATGGTCTTGTTTATTTAGGTCAGTTTAGTGACGTCTCCTCCACTGGGAGGACGGTGCAAAGCTTAAAATCTTAATATTTCAACACAACGACTTTGAAATTATTTTTGATGTTTTCCTTTTATTCAAGGAAAGTAGTAGTAGTATTTACAGACCTGGGGATTGTTGCTGTCTACAAACTGTCACCAGTCGCTACCCTTCATCATGTTTTTGAGGATAAAATACAGTTTTAAATGAAAAAGAAAGGTGGTGGTGTGATGAACTATCCAGCGAATCCCACAATGAGTTTGAATTTTCTTGTTTCTTTAGGTTTATCCCAATGAGCGACACAGTATCCGATGTCCAGAGTCTGGAGAACATTACGAGATCACGATGCTGCACTTCCTCCAGCAGAACCTCTGATAATCTCCTCTACACATGGACCTTTTCTTGCCTTTTCCTTCCCTGCTTCCTAACCCTCCTCCCTTCATCTCCTCCATTTATTTAAAACTGCATCTATATATATATATTTGCTGAATGCAGGCTCTGCCAAACCTCGTCACACCTCAAGAGTCGCTCATCAGTCTCAAAGGTGCTGGATCTTTTTAGCATCGATAAATACATATATGACTTTTATTCAGATGTTGGTTTCAATACCAATCAAAAGCATTTTGTAGCCATGAAGCTCCTTTTTTGCAGTGGAGGGAAAATATCTTCAAAATGAGTAGGGGGCGCTGTTGGACAGAAACAAACAGGACCGTAGCTTTCTGAGATTCTAGTGATGGCGGACGATGAAGCAAGAAAAAACCCACTGAATTGAAATGTGAGAGTGACGATACTGATGTTATAAACTTTGGAAAAACACACTTTTCAGCATCGCAAAAAAAGTGGACCTGCTGCAACCAGTTTCTGGAAGCAGATTTGAGCAGTTTCAGACCTTTTCTCTTTTGCATCTTTTGTTTTGACCAATTTTCATATTGTTTTCATGAATAGACACTGGAGTGAAGTTAGAAAACGTAAAACTCTATAAGAAACAAGCTCTAATCCCCTTTCCTCTTTGCTTTGACACTTTTTATGGAGGAAGAATCTTTCCACACTGTGTTGCACTGTGGCAGAACCACACAGGAACAAGTTACACATCAAATTTGTGGAATTTCCCCAAAAAATAGTTAATGCATTATAATGCACCCATTACTGGTGTAACCGCGTTGTGACCTCTCACTGTTTCACTCAGCCGCTCGCTTTGCTTTTGCCGGAGCAACTTTTTCTTCTGCTGCTGACAAATTCTTGCACGTTACATATTTGCCTCTGTGCCAACGGACTGAACAATGAGATGATGTTTGACTCAGCTCCTCAGTGTGAGGGGCCTTGTAAGAGCTGAAGAGAGCCTGCTCATATAGTTTGTATCAGGGAATGTGTGTGAGGACCTATGAAAATAAAAATGCCTTTTATATGTGTGTGTCTGACGATCATCTGAATTCTCAGAACATGAAGAAATAAACAGAAGTGAACTTTGTCTAAGTCTTGTCACCAAATGAGATTTATTGTTTTTAAAAGCACAGATTTAAAGTAGAATTATAGAGATTTATAGAGAAATTAAACCTTCAAACTCCATGAATAATAACTAGATCCTGAAACAAGTGTTATGTTAAATAGTTTGTAGTTTGGGGAAGTAAAACAATCTGGAAAAACTGAAGTCATGTCGACTTAAATAACCCAGAAGATGATACATAGTTGAGGGTTTTCCTGGTTCTTCTAGATCCTCGGGAGAAAGAAGAGTAAAAACACAGATGCATCATTAAAGAGGCACTTTGAGTCATAGTTCTAAAGCTAACGCCCGATCTCGCCTTGTTAAAGGAGGTGTTTATCTGGATCCACCCCAAAATGTATTGTGTTTTTCCTTGAGTCATGCCCCACCCCTCCACACTTCACTTTACTAGTTTGAGTAATCATGTTGACAGAAAAATTGTATTATTATTTTTTTTATTTTAAATTTAAACCCCAGTGAATATTTATTTTCTTTCAGCACAGGTCCTAAATCCCGCCTCCTGTCAGTGGATTGGACATGGAAACTTTGTGACTGACAGCTGAGACTGATTTAGGATTGTTTGAGCACATGTACGGACAAGACTTCACTATTGTGGCTTCATCAACCAAACACCACTGATCAGACTCGAGCTCTAAATGCACAAGATGGCAGCGTTCGTGTCCCACAATCCATTTCTGGATAGTGGGAAGAAGTGTAGATGTGTCGTCACTATTTATATTGAGTCTATCTGCTAAACCCTCATCGATTTGAATGATTAGCTAAGTTCATACGTCAAAAATAATAATTGAATCAAAGTTTATATGTAAAGTGACGTGTGTGTGTGTGTGTGTGTGTGTGTGTGTGTGTGTGTGTGTGGTTGTTTTCAGACATGAATGAAGAGCTGCATTTTATTTAAGCTTTAAAAACTTTTATTTTCATCCCCCTCATTCAAATGAAATATAAAACTTTGAAGAATATAAACATGAATGATAACAAACGACACTGGTGAAGTAAAAAGTCATTCAAACACATATACAGCGAATATACAAAAAATAAGATTAAGACATAAAACCCTTACAAAGGGAGTAAAGAGTGTCAACATGACATATATCATATAGCATAGCATAGAGGTATCATAGCAACAGGAGAGATTATTAACGTGCTCAGCACAGTGATGGTTTCACTGACGTGGTTCAACATTTAAAGTTAAACTCTTGTTTTCTTCTTTGGTCTCTTCCTGTTTGTCTTTGAGACACTGAGCAGTTTACGGTTTTCTCGTGGCGGGGGTGATCTTCAGCAGCGTTGTCTTCAGAGACTTATCTCGTCCCTTCGTGGACCAAAACATCTCTTGTCTCCCGTGATTCCGTTTCCTGAGCACGCCCGGCCTTCTGGGATATCTGCCGTTGAGGTTTGATTCGCCACAGCCGCTGAACCACCAACCTCCTGCAACAGAAGTGCATCCTCGTTAAAGCTTCTGCTGTTTTAATGTTTCCTGGGACAGACATGTACTTTCTTGTGCTGAGGAGAAAAGTGTTTTACCTGAAAGCAGCTCGGCACAGTTGACGTCTTCACTGAGGTCGTTGTCTCTGTCGGCCGTGGAGAAGGAAACCCCGGAGGCTCCAGTGGTGAAGATCTCCTCCTGAGCTCCGGGTGAAGCCTCCTGATCCAGGTGCACGGCAAACTTCTTCTCTTCTCCGTCCAAGTTGAACTGGTAACGCGTGGTCTGCTGCTCACCTGCCCGACCAGACAGCTCAACCTGCAGGACGTACTGGCCTTGTGTGGAGAGGGAGTGGATGTTCTCCAGGCCGAGCCAAAACTCACCTGAGGGACGAAAGAGGAAGACATTAGTTTTTGTGACCAAGAAATGGACATTCTTTTCATTTCTGAAAATCTTGAGTGAACTCTAATCACCATTCAGGCTGCCGAAGCCTCTCTTGTAGCTCTCCCACAGCTGATTGAAGTTCTGGGATCCGTCTTGGCGTTTCTGGATGACAGTCCATCCTGCATCTGCAGAGAGCAGAGGGAAGGTTGAGCCAAAGACACAGAGCCCACTCCCCAAATATACAACAAGTATTTGATGCTGCAGTGGAAAACATAACTCCTCCTGTGACCTAGAAAAAGCAGGACTTTCTCTGGAACTTTAGATTCCATGTTGTAATTGATCACCTATCAGTACCCAACATTAGAATGTATTTCTGATCTAACTCCCTCTCTGCTCTGTGCTCCACTTCCATGATGCTAAGTTTCCTTTCAGCAGTGCAGTAATGTCAGACAATTAAACCCAGACAGCTAGAGGCACGTCTCCTGTTGACTCACCTGAAGTCATCTCACAGAGGACGTTGAACGGCTCCGAGCTCTTGGGTTGGATTGTGTAGATGCCGCTGGCTCGCTGCCCTCGTACAAACAGGTCGTGACAGTCCCTGGGCAAATCTGAGGAATGAATAATCAAACAATTCAGCAAATCAGATGCACTGAGGATTTCTTGCTGGTTTTGTTCACTTGAATTGAAACATGCTAAGAACAAAGGTCCCAGTGGCCAACAAACATACAGTACAGTACAGTAGGTGTGTTTCTACAGCCGCTGTCCTTGTTTCCCTGATCTTTGGACTGTGCACTCTGCTCTGCCAGCGAGTCAGGTATTTAAAAGTCAGTGCAAAGGTGAAATGTTTTGTTTTTATGTCAGTGGCTGTAAATGCTTTGTGTCGCTGGCTGATGCAAACAGAATGTGATTTACAGCATTTCACTGCCTCACTATCAAAAGTGACCTATGATTGTAGCTGTTTTTAGACTTTGACACTAATGAAGTCCCAGAGGAAATTAGTGCAAAGTTCACGCGATGGTTTTATCTGCTGTGAATGTTTTCAACATCGCTCGTTGGTTGTTTTTCTCTTTTCCTGATATCAGTTTGAAACCGTTTTAAAACCCTGCAGCAGTTTGTGTCCTCACCTGATGTTTCTCTGCTGTGCTCAGACTCTCCTCTCAGCACCGTCTCCTCATCTCTGCGTCGGTGCGATTTTACTCTTTTATGTGCAACCTGAGGAAATCAAAACGGAAAAAAATGAAATTGAAATCCAATACTTTGGTCTCCGACCAGAAAATGACATCATCTCTAGTTTCTTATCAGACCAGTCAGTGTTACATAATGAACGTTGGATCAGTGTGACTCACCTTTTCCTGCAGCGCTTGCAGGTGCAGACTCTGCTTCTCCAGTTTGCTTTGCTGCTGCTTGATTTTCTCCACCAGATCGTCGATGCGTCTGTTCTGAGCAGCCAGCAGCCTCTGGAAACAGCAGGAAAAACAAACTTCAGCTTCACCACATCATTGTGTTTAACTTATTTCTATTTTTCATGAAGCCTTGATTGATTTTTAAATCTAATCTGGCCTCAAAGTGTATTCGAAACTCCCAGTGATGGATGTGGTTCCATGATTACAGAGCATTTTCCAGTTTGCCTGATTGCAGGAGCCTCTGTCATGTTCAGTAATACCCACAGTGCATTAGTGTTTCCCTTTGATCTGAATTATAACATGAAACACAATTTTCCTCTCACCTGTATGAATGGGACTCCTGAGTGATCGCTGTAGTTGCTGTCTAGTTTCGGCCCCTTGAGCACCTCGTCCACCTTCTCCTCCAGTCTGTCCATCCTGGAGCCGATGTCCTCGCTCTGCTTCTTCACCCCCTCCGTCTTCGCCCTCACCTCTTCAGCCATCCCTGCAGCCATTGTCCCCCTCTTCTCCACCTCTGCACCCCCGGCCTTCATCAGCGCTTCCTCTTGCTCCTGCTGCCTCTTCTGCAGCTCAGCCACCGTGCTGTTGAAAGCCTTGAGTTTGGTGTTGACGTCCCTCATCTGGGCCTTGGTCTTGTCCACGTGCTCCTTCAGGCCCTGGCCCAGCTGCAGGAGGCCATGAGCCACCACATTCACGTCGTCCCAGGAGGCGTGTTTGTCCTGGCCGGGCTGAGCTCTCCTGTCAGTGGGGAAACAAGATGCTGCGTGCACCAGGATGGTGAGTAGGAGGAGGAAGAGTTGTGCCATCGTCATCTTTGTGTCTGCTGAGAGTGTCTGTTAGGAAATGCTGATGTCGCTCCCTGTCTGTTGTGTGCTGCTGAAAGGCATTGTGAGGTTTTTATAGCTCAGTGCTGCAGCAGAGGTCTCCAGTGATTGGCTGCCAGAGCTTGGAGGTGGGGATGCGGGGGATGTTGGAGGCGTGGAAAGTTTTTGGCAGTGGGAGAGCTCCTGAGGACTGATGGTGAGGATCATGATGCAATGAAAGGTTTAAATTACTGGTGGAACACCCACTGATACAGGGAGGTGATTTACATTCAGTTTTGTTTTCGCAGCTCAAACTAAGAGTTTTTATACCAAAGCACAAATCGGCATCAGTGATTCAGTTTGTTGAAATGTTGAAATAGTTTTTACTTGTCACTTGACTTTTTCTCTGCAGCTGTGTTTCTTGTAGTTGCTTTGAAAACACTGTTAATATTCTCTGTGGGACTTCAACTAACAACTCTCATCATTCAACCTGATGATTATCTAAGTTGATGAGTTTTTAAGTCTTTAAAATGGTTGGAAACAATATCAGTGATCACAAGCTGACGTCATGAAACATAAAATAGGTTGATTTGCTGTCACTTAAGAGCAAGAAAAGAACCGAGTTCCTAAATTTGAGAGGGTGGAATTATCATATATATATATATATCTTTGTCATATATGCGTTTAAAATGACTGAACTGATTTACAAAATAGTTGCTGATAGATCTTTTTGTAATTAATTGACTGAATGTTGCAGATCAAATGTTGTGTGACAGAATAATTCACAAGCTCACAGGTTCTTTAAGTGGCTTTTTAGCCTATAATGAGGCATACATCCAAATTAAGCATGTTTATCCCTAAAAAAAATCTAATTTTACATCCCAAACACACGGTTGTTGGTCAAATTTTATTCATATTTCAGATTTATTTGTTAATTCAAACAGATTAAACCCACATCTGAGAGATTTTGTTAAAGTTTTGTAAAATGTTAACTGAAAAAGACAAAATGATCCGATTTAATGCAACGATCCCAAAAAACAAGATAACAGCATTTATCATGTTTGTGATCTCTCAGACTGAAACCGTGACAGTTTGATATTGGTGTTGATCTCAGTGAGTGGATCAGGACAGCTGCTGTGGGTCTTCAGCATGAACGAGGAAAGCTGGAGAATGTTTAAAGATGGAGGAGTCACTGTGAGAAGTAGGGGAAAGTTCAACCCTCAGGCCTTTTAACACACTCATTCCTGACAGCAAAGTCCAACAATCACACACACACACACACACACCACCAGACACAAGGCACGTGGTGTACTGATGAGGTACAGATGACAAATACTGCAACACACACACATCCAGTAAATGTCAGCAGCCTGTGGCTTCTGGAAGAATCTTTCCAAAAAAGAAATGTTCAAACATTTCTCTTATTTGAGAGAAACCAGAGAAACCAGCACATTCTAATGGTAAAATAAAAACAGGAGGATTACGTTTAATCCTTATTCTTAGGTCAGAGACGGGGGATGATAATCTGCAGCTGTCTATTGCTAAATATTCTCCAGTTCTAAAAATATTTCCTGCATCTGAACACCTCTATTTGTTTTTGGATTTCCAAAAAACCATTTGGGCTGCTGGGTCCCTTTAACACCATTTTGAGATATTTAAGGGCCAAAAGATCAATCAATGAATGAGTTATAGTTAGAAGATACTCAAAAAAGAAATAAATGACTGCAGCACGGGTCATAAATAACACCTCCTCCATGTTAGTGGATGGGACATGGACAAAATAAAAAGTCCCTGTGGACATCGAATACATTTTCTTAAAAGACAGTTTTAGTCATTTTAGGCAGTAGTGCTACTTTATCTAGTAACTTAATTGAGGTTATTTGATCAGATAAGAATGTGGAGAAACATCAAGAGACGACTCAAGCATGGTCAAGTGCGTTCATCAGCGGGTCGTCGTTACCGTGGCTCCATTCCCCGATCACTACGGCACAGACTTTGGCTCTAAGCACTTAAGATGGCAGCTTCATTTCTAGATAGTGTGAGGAAGTAGAGACGTCGTCCATCTTTATATGCAAACTGTCGGCCATAGGCTACTTCTGAGGTAAATGCTAACATAAGCCTGCTAATATTTAGCAGTTGTTATTTTTAGCATGCTAGCATCTTATAATGAATCAAATCAAATGTCCTTTCAATGAATCATTACAGTTGATGTTATGCTTTTGAAGACTTACAGATATTAACATCCATAGAGCTGGCCATCTTAGTTCATGTTTGAGTGTAGTTGCTTAGTAACATTCTGTTGTTGTGGAAAACAAACTAAAAGTGAAAGAAATCTAAAATTATTTTTTCTCAACTGCTGACAGCTGAGAGATGAATCTTAGTGGCTCAGCCTTTTAGAAATTCCACCAAGTCAAATGCTTTTGCTTTCAGTCTCAGAAGTTGAGACATTAACTTTTAGGAGGAAGAGAAATGCGACGACTCAAAATGAAACCGGACAGCGGAAGAGGAACTTTATTTGTCTGCCATTTTACCTAGTTACAAAGTACAGTTAGTTAATGCTTGAATAATCATGGACAAACTGTTGAAATTAACCTGATTTCCATCATGAGACTGCAGAGGGAACGTAGTTCCTGGCAGGGCGTGATTCAGTGCACATATCTGTACAGCAGGCTGCTGTTCTGCACGTATCCTCAAAGCTCTGAGCTGACGGGAGGTCGAGCATTCTGTCTGCGTCCAGGATCAGAACACAATGTTTGATTTATAAAGGAAGTTGTGTGTCCAAGCTGCTCAAACATCACAGAACTGGGGGGTTCACACTGGGGGAGATGAGTGTTTGTGTAAATATATTGTGAACATTACCTTGGACTGGTAGTCATCACAAACTGAAACTTTGGTCAAGATGTAATTTACAATTTATCAAGTCTACTGTTTCTTGTAAACTCTTGGTTCTACAGAGAATGCTAGTACTCAAAATATATTGAAATCCATTCCCCTTTTCTATCTTTTAGGCTTGTTCTCGTATTGTAATTGTAATAATAGCACAAAAATGAACAAATTATTGTACACATGTATGTTCCCCGAGTGTTTGTGTATCTGTGTTTTGAACGAACCTTCATCAGCAGAGAGGTGGGTGACACTGACCGACAGATATCTGACGAAGAGAAGATACTGTCCTTCTGCATCAGACTTACTGTGGCTATCAGCAGTTCTTAAATCTCAACACAGCACTGTTACGTGTGTGAGTTAAGACAGTCTTCATCTGAACTCACATCTGCAACTGTGCAGATTATGACAACACAACACGTCCCATCAAATCTGCACATGTACAGTACATGAGCTTCCACCACGGGGCGGGGGGTAGACTGTGTTTTCAGGCACCAGTGGGTTAGTGTGTGAAAGGTGAAGCTTTTGTCACGTGTCTGGAATGTTGCATCAGCCTCTTGGGGGACGAACATACACCCCCCACCCCCCCAACATGCCAGGACAGAATCCACAGTAACTAAAACATCCAGAAGTTCTGCAGCTGGATCAGAAATCAGAGAGAAAATAGACGAGGAAAATAAAACATGATGTAACGTACAGAGATCCTGAAATTAGAAATAAAGAAACCCTTGTTTGGTTTGATTATTAGATTGGCTCCATCAGAGGTATTGATTAATGATAATAAAAAAAATGTAAGTTGCATATTCAAGTTTTATGTCTTTTAGTCCCTTTTTCATTTGAAAGGATTTGTTCTTCTTTTGTTGAAGATTGTTCACATAGAGTAATCCAGTGCTATTTACACTTGTTACGTGGCATCTGCCAGTTTTCCTAAAATTAAAACAAGGTTTTTAATATGAAACTGGATTTTACATCAGTGAATACATTTGTTTGAGGAACAATATGATTCCTTAAGTGACAATTTGCAGACATTAACATCCATAGATCTAAAAATAACTGAGGGACGTTTGCACTTTCAGGTCTTTTCTGTTATAGGTTGGGGGATTTCATTTCCATCATGAGACTGCAGAGGGAACGTAATTCCTGGCAGGGCGTGATTCAGTGCACATATCTGTACAGCAGGCTGCTGCACGTATCCTCAAAGCTCTGAGCTGACGTGAGGTCGAGCATTCTGTCTGCATCCAGGATCAGAACACAATGTTTGATTTATAAAGGAAGTTGTGTGTCCAAGCTGCTCAAACATCACAGAACTGGGGGGTTCACACTGAGGGAGATGAGTGTTTGTGTAAATATATTGTGAACATTACCTTGGACTGGTAGTCATCACAAACTGAAACTTTGGTCAAGATGTAATTTACAATCTATCAAGTCTACTGTTTCTTGTAAACTCTTGGTTCTACAGAGAATGCTAGTACTCAAAATATATTGAAATCCATTCCCCTTTTCTTACTTTGTTGATTTATTCATATGTTTCAAACTGTGGATGTAAATAATCCTCAGTCCTGGTTTGACTCCTGTTCTTTTTTTAAACTTCTCAGTACACTTGGCAGAACGGAGAAGTGTGTGAAAGGTAGAGCGACTTCAGCCTCTGGTGTTGGTATCAGCAGGGACTTCATTAAAAACAGCTGTTATTTACAATTCAAAGGCTGATACTCCATTCACCCACTTCCACTACACCGACCTTTTACCCAGATTCCACACTCATGCAGCATCTGTATGCTTGTGGCCCCGCCCGCCCTGGGATCTGTTGCTGTTTTTTAACAATCAGAGTCTTCGTCTTGCCCTTTAACCCAGAAAGCAGCATTTACTGTTCTGCAGCATCAAGGTGCTGATCAAAGAGAGAGAGAGAGACATAACAAAGAAAGGAAAGTCAGAAGCTATTTTCCTGTTTTCATCAGAGATTAATGAGGTTGTATTTATCATGTAGGGGATTAAATCAGTACCAGAAGCAGGAAAACAGCACTTTGGATTCATCATTCAAGTTTCAATCTGTTAGATTTTCAGTTTATCCATCAAACACATACATGATACAAGCTTTTAAACGTATAACGCTGTGCTGGTTGTTATTGTTTGCTGTTGTTCTCTTTCTGTAATGAACCCTAACATCCAGTAGATAA